TTAACAGACAATGGAAATTAACACATGGGAACTACTTATGGCATGTTTTATTTATTTATTTATTTATTGGACTTGTCCCCGCCCATCTCCCCACAATGGGGGACTCTGGGCAGCTTATATATCATGGTTTATATCATGGTTCCATACTGCTCTAGGCTAGTGCTATTTGGATTGTAGTAAAGACTCCTTTGGATACAGAGTAGATTCCACTAAGTCTTTGTAGGCTGCTGATAGGATAAACCACACTTTCCTAAGCTGTCTAGAGCTTACAGAAGCATTGGAATAATATTCTTGAAGAAAAGATTATTGTAGCGTGGTGCCTGCAACATTCCTCAGCTGAGAGAGCTTAGCCAGTTATTTATACTCCAGTTGCTTTGCATTTTGATTACAGCTGCACATTGTACAGGAAGTTGACTTTCAAGATGACTCAACAGATCCAGTTGGTAGGAGAGAGCCATTGTTTTGCTCACTGAGGCCAAGCGCAGGGGTGTTGCTTAGTTAATTCAAGCCCAGTTCATGAGCACTGATTGCTGTTTCTCTAGAATGGGCAGCTCTCCACTCGATATTGAACAGGATGTGACAGGCAGTGCTATTAGATGAGTGAAGCGGCAGCCACATAGCCTCAGTGAAACCACCTGGCAATGCTAGCCCCAAAGGGCAGGTGACTAAGCACAAGGTGAGGAACTGAGAGTGAGGAGAGATGACATCTCCCCATCCCCATTGCAGGAAGCTGTCTCTGAGCATGTTGGTACTGCTGCTGCTACCTCACCCTGATCAACTTGTCCTGCACCTTATCTGCTGAGGAACCGGTCATTGCCTAATTTAGATAACACCCCTGAGAAGGTGAGACCCGAGTCTGTCTTCAGAGGCCCTTCTGTCCCTTGTTTTATATCAGTTAGGCAGGCAGATTATATAACTGACTTTCTAGGGAGTTTGACCCAGTAGAATTTCCCCTCTTGCTCATGCTTCCAGTAGGGAGGTGGTGCTTAGAGCGGAGCCTTCCAAGCTCTCCTCAACTGTATGTCCATGGGGATGCCGAGGGAATTTTTTCCCAAATGTTTTTCTCCACAGCCCCTGGGCAGATCTGCCCCATTTTCAGAGTCCATCTTTCTTTTGCCAGCTTCTCCTACCACACCAAATTTGATCCCATTCTGTTTTTGGAGAGTTAGCCTGCTGACAGCAGACAAACACAGGCTCCCTTTCACTGTTGGGTTGGACATAATGAAAAAACAAATACATAAAACTGAATACAATGGGGAGGTTGCCCCAGAGGCAGGCAGGCGATTAGATCCACACCACCAGTTACCACCAATCCAGCAGAAGGATCAGTTGAGTCCAATGATCCTTCACAGCAATTTCTTCCTCTAGATAATTTTCTTCAAAGGAGTTAGATCCAAAATGACTCCATTTACACCAGTGTTTCTCAACCTCAGCAACTTTAAGATACGTGGACTTCAACTCCCAGAATTCCCCAGCTAGCACAGATTTGCTGTTTTGTAAATCTAAATTAAACACTTAACTTCAACCATAACTTTTTCGGACCCAGATGAGTAGTGTGTGGGTTGAGAGCCTCCTAAGCCAGTTCAGGAGGAGGTGTATTTATCAGAATGAGGTAGACCAGGTACACTTCCCCAAATAACCCCTTAAAAATAACCCTTGAATGTTGGGCCATTGGGATGACACCACTGTTCATGCACATCAATTACTCACTACAAATCCCCAAACAGAGGAGCTGTTCCATAACAATCCTCATTTACAAAAAAGTGAACTGGCCAACTATCATCCAATCAACTTACTAAGGGACATCAGCAAATTCTGTGCCAAACACCTATATTATAGATGAAAAAGTTAGCCAAGGAACAAGCGGTTTGATGCCAGTCCATTCAATTGTTGATCGGTGTATCGGTGCACTATTTGGCTGAGAGAAACTCTACTCCAGCTCTTCTTTATCATTGATTTGATGTCAGCTTTCAACTCTATTCCCCACAAGAAGTTATGGAGGAAACTTGTGGCTATCAAATGCTGCCTCTTTCAGCTGATAATAATGCTTTGTGAGAACATCTCCATGTTTGTTAAATGCACACACAATGGTGATCTGACAGATTCCATTCCCACTCACTTCCATACAGTGACACAATATAGGCCTTTACAAAATCTGAACTCCATTCTCCAATTCTGGTCAATTACCATTCTTTTACATGTTGATAATGTTAATCCATTATCTAAGTTGGATTTTGGTGAAAACTTTGAGCATTAGCATCATGATGTTATGATGAAAAGCTACAATCAACTATTTAAAAATGATTGCTACATTCACTAAGATTCCACCAATCACTTGTATAATTGGAAAATCAACAATAAGCAAACAGAGCCTTATTTCAGTCTTCCAACTCCTGGAATCATTAAGCCTATGAGCTTAAAAAATGGGTTCAAAGGGCTTCTAAAGCAATAATTAGATTTGCATCTTATAAAGACAATAACTATGTTCCTGCAGCAAATTACTCAAAACAAAATTAAGTCTTCTGCTACAGTTTGCACACTTCTGCATTTAAAAGATATAATTGCCTTAGAAGAAATTCAGTCTAAACTTTTGAGAACTAGTCCATGCTTCTCATTAAGCTGCAAATGCATGTCTTTGGCTAGAGCTTGGTTGTGCATCACAGAGGCCTGTATGAGACTGTCGTTTGAAATATTGGTTGAAACAAATATTTACCGGATATAAACTTTTAAGTTAAAACAAAAACAAACAAACGAACCTCACTTCCAATCACCTGTTCAGGTCTGATCCTTTGCTCCCTTTTATGTAGCACTGAACCAAATCAAAACTAAATCCAATTATTTCAAAAGCAAGACTCACTCAACTCCAAGCTGCAAACATTTCATCAACTTTATTTTGGTTACCATCTCAATCTTAAAGATCAGTAATTTTCCCCATTTGCTCATGGTTTTGGTTTGCTGGGTGATTTTGTTCTTCATTCTAAACCTTTGGTAGAGGACACAGTCATAATAGGCATGTAAAAAGAAGGGCATTTACAACGAGCTGGCTTATTTACATTTTATTTATCAAGTTTTTAATGGAGTCAGTTTAAATAAAGAAACAAAAGAATAGTTAACATGATGAATACAGAAAGCATATGAGCAATTAGTAGAGTTTTTTTCCATTTACCAAGGAACACAGAAAAAGAAACAGCTACGCTTGTTACCAGTGTCACCTGCATATAATGCTGAATATGTCTAGGACTAAAACACACACTGGAATAAACTGTTTCCTTGTCAGTTCCTTGTCCGCTGTAAGCAGCCAGGTATTCATTGTTTCTAAGGCAGTGTCTAGTGTTTCTCAAAAATGCCAATAATAGCTGTGAATAAATGATAGAGAATGGGTCATTTATTTGAACAACCAGTCCAGCATTTCTGCAATGTGACCTCTAATAATTGTACCATGGTAGCAATAGCTCTTTGCAAGCAAAAGGATCTAAAAAGGTGATCTGCATAGAAAAATAATATATCTGTTAGAATACAGCCATCCTAATTATTATTCTAACTGCAGTTGACCTTTTGATCTTCAACTAAATGTATGTGCTTGTTCTAGTGTTCTCAGCAGCTTTTCTCTTATTTCATATATAAGAAATGTCTGCATGCTTGTGTTTTTTTCACCCCAGGCTACAGCTGCCAGATAAACTATGCAGTTAATTTATTAAAATTACTGCAAACCCAAAAACAGAAAGATATAAATACACATTTTCTATGCATATTTAAATCCAGAGTTTACATTCTGAAGTGTTCATCAACAGCTAATACTTTTTAAACAAATGTTGTAGATTAAATAGCTTGGCATTCAGATGAAACTTAGGGCTAAGAGCCATTTCAAAAATGGCAAAACTCGAAACATAAAGCAGTGTCAACCTGTGTTTCATACTATATACAAAGTGGTGCCATTGCCACTTGCCACAATCAGTTCCTAGATTCGATGCCATTTCCCAGGTAGAAATCTTTCTATATAGGAAGAGATTGCAAATAAACTGGACAATAGCCAAAGTCTAGCACACACAGATTTACCAGTAAGCATCACTGAATAAGATTGTATAGGATTATATTGCATCCATCATAAAAACATAACAGCATTAGATATAAAGCTTTGTCTAACATTCACACATAGAAGTTTATTCTTGGAACGTCCATTTTTTAACAAGATCCTTTTAATCACATTGTTAAAATTCTGTTTTCTCGAAGTATACAAATTGGTGTATTTCAGTTCATGTTAGTTTCTTGCAATCCATGATTAGCTGAAAGAGTATATGGAACTGGGCCAAACCACATCTTCAGTTCACCATTAACATGGACTGAATAACTTTAGCCTTGGGGCAAATTACTGGTCCAGTTCTACTTAATTAGGTTAAACTGTGACATACAGGTGTATGAGCAGCAGTATATTCTTATGGATGGGAATGACATGTATAAATACAAGCTTGCTTTTCATATTACTTGCATCTGCTTGTACTCTTATGCTCAGGATGGTGGAATGACTACACAGTGTGAAGCCCCAGAATACAAATAAAAAGGGGGAAGGGTTCAATCACAGGGTTGCTACCACCATTTTTATTTTTTTGTCCTGCCCTGCAGAAATCCCTGTTGTCACATGTTCATCAATTTGGCATCAGGAAAGCTAAAGACTTTCATCAATGTCCCTACACCAACCTGCCATCCTTGCAAGATCCTCTCTAGTTTGGACTATTTATGGAACAAAGGGAAATAGGAAGAAATATGAAGCCATAGGTTCCCAAGTAATCTGAACCCTTCAAGCCATGACCCAATAAGAGGGTTATGGTTTCACACTGTCCTCTCACCCAAGAAGAACTCCTTTTGCAGAAATAGGCCCTAGAGTCCTCTGCTTTTATGAGCTCATCAAATTTCATTAGTAGGACATGTCTGTGAATCAAAATGGTGATTTTTTAAATTAAAAAAAATGGCCAAACATCACTAAGAGACAGAAGATTATGTAGATGGAAACTGACAGGTTTCTTGTTATATAATTCAGAAAAGACTTGGAACTGTGCCAAGCATACAATGTGCAAATGTAGTTAAAACAGTGCTACATTCTGGGGGAAGCACTATTATTCGTACCAAAGTTGTAATAGCAGCATCACTTGTGGGACAGTGTTAGCTATATCTCATAATATCCGGAAGAAGTTACTTCCTGGTTTCCCTCTTGAAAAAAACAAAAACAAACAAGCTCCCCAAAGTATTCTACTTACTTTACTGAATCAAAGAAAACTTTCACACTTAAACAATTAACCCTAACCCTACATGGCATGAGACCAGGATATTTGACAGACCGGTTACATCTACCCGTCCCATCAGATTAGAATCTCAACATTCACAAACTGTATTCCAGGAGGAATAAAGATTGGTTATTGGTTTTGATAAACAGAAACGGTACCTAAAACCATATTTGAGTTGCATCAAAAAAAGCCCTGACATTATTAAATGGGCTGTCAGCGTGTAAATCCTGTAAGGCAAATATTGTGTGTAAGTGTGGTACGTGAGAAAACCTGAGTCTGATTACTCTGAATACAATTGGCATTATTTCAAGTATTTTCTTCTACCATGGAAAGCCAGAAGTGGTTAAAAAACCAAACAGTTGGAATTTTATTGGTAAGATCTTCAGATTCAAGGACTGAGGGTTGCATGTTAATTTTTTAAGGGTAAAAGCCCAGTTGAGGAATACCATAAACAATCCTAAACCCTGTTTGATATATACTGCAAAGAACAACAAAAAGATGAGCAATCTACCATTCAGACTGTGTACGTCTGAATGGTAGAATGTCATGGGGAGGAAGGGAAAAAGCTACAATCTGCTTGTGAGCTTGTCAATACTGTACAGATCTTCATGAGTCATTTACCTCCTCAGTTGCTACTAGAAAATAAATAAAACCAATGAAGTTCTTCATCCACATTTAAGCTTCCAAAGGTCAAAACAGCTATTCAAGACAGTGAAGCTTTAAACTATAGGCATCAGAAAGGCTTGTTTTTAGCCACTGTGAACTATTAAGACACTTTTCTACAGCTTCTGCTGAACACAACTGAGAACTGGGAGCAGATAATAATGTCAACAGAAGTGCATCAGGGAGTCCAAGAAGAAATTAGGTAAGAGTTCTGGAAGTGTCATGATCATGATCATTCTTCTCTAGCACCAATTCAAACTCCAAAATCAGTATCTTCTAGTTCAGCTTAAGCACTTTGATGCGACTTTTGGTGCTGCTTTATACATAACTCGAGCAGAAGGAACTGTTCATCAGGTGTAATGTTGAAGGGACAATTGGAAGAGCAACACTAATTACAAAGATTCTGGTCAAACCACTTAGCACAATAGTGAGATTACAATAAAATATAATCCATGGAGCTATATCAGAGTTCAGTAATTAGTTTCAGTTGATTTCTGGTGCAAAAAAAGCAAACGAGGAAAAAAAGTCCATTTTAAAGCCAACTGGTTAGTTCCTTTAAAAAATGGTATCAGTTGAGGATTTGTAACAGATGCTCCTTTCCTCTGTATTAGGGAAAACAGAAGGGATTTCCCTAAACATTTACACTTATGCACAAATCTGGCAAAATGTTTACATTTTTAAAGAAGCTTGAAAACAGACGTGCAATCAAATGCCAAATTTCATTTCCTGATTATGTTTAAGTTGGTTGATGGAGTCTCTACATGTACCTAATACTCATTTTATCCTGTGGGGGTGTCACTGCTTAGACATATCCACAGGGTTCATACATAAAAGAAACATATTTTTACACAAAATGGATACATGAAGAATTATAATAGCGGTTAGTTTCAATTAGTTATAGTCTTATAAAGATGTCAGTAGCCATTTTAATTTTGAACAGTTGATCGTGTTCACCCTTGTGCAAAAGCCAGACATAATCACTAAGGAACAGAAAACCAGCACTTTTCTTCCCATCAACTCTGCACAGAAAGCGTAAAATGCTTCTTGCTTCTCATTCCCTCCCCACCGGCCACTTTGCTTTAAAATGTTGTCTGAACTTCTTTGGAAATAGTTTGGTTTTCTAGCTCAGCATATCAGTAGAACCAAAGCATTTAAATGTTGCTCATCGGTTGTTTGGAAATTACCCAGTCGTCTCATTTTAGGTAGCTTCTTCGGCAGGTCCCCTTCGCTGGCGTGCAGATTTCTGCCTACTTCTCTGTGGAGTGAACAGCACATCCTGTTCAGTTTCTGGCTCAGTGTTTTCATTATCCCCTTGCTGGGATCCCGTGTCTCCTATCAGCTCTCGTAAGAACTTAAACTTGGATAAGAAGAGCTGCCAGACCACGCACCAACCTACAGAGTTGCCAGGAAAAACAAGGGAACATAAGTGATGCACCTCCCAGCCATTCAAAATATACAGCACGATATGAACAAGGAGGTGATGCTAGTGCATTCCATGCTCATATACAAATAATGCTGTCCAAACAATGCCAAAAATCCCAATCCTTGTTAAAGTTACAAAAAATATTAAGTTAGAAACACAGAGAGAGCTAAAAAGCCACTGTGGATTAGATACCTTTCCTATGCATTGATTACTTTCCTATCCTTGACCTACGCTTTCTTTCCATATCAGCCAACTCTTAAAATAAGCTTTCACTGGCTTCCTTTAAAGGCTTACTGATCTGTTACATTTATGGGTTATAGTGGCAGATAAATCCTGGTCAGTAAATAAATAAATACCAAAGCAAATCCCATCCTTTACCTACCAGACATTTGGGGCAAGGTATAATTAAAATACATATATGATTAATGGAAAAGTGTTATCAAAAATGGTCAGACAAGGATCAGGGGCTAGGAGAGACAATTAAAAAAAGGCTTCCACTACAAAGGAGATCTTAAAAAATTACTGTAAATGGTCCTCTTACGAATCAGTGAGATCATTTCAAAGACCTAATTGCTAAAGAGACAACACTGCAGGTCCCTGTGAGTTGCCCCGGGTTACGTTCTCATTCATCCATAACAACAAGATCATCCGGTCAGCATTCTTTCAGCCTACTCTATGCTGCCGGGTTTTTTGAAAGTTATTTTGGTGGAAAAAGTGTGTGTCATCTTTTGCTTCCTAGTAAAGACACAGCATTTAATAATAACAGTAACAGTAATAGTTATAAGATGATTAAGGAAAAAGAAAGGGGCAGGATGGGCTTATCTTTTTGGTACTGATAATATTAAGTTCCCTTTTTTTCCCCCTTCCTCTTTACCACCCTCAACTTGCTCTGAGCTCAATCTTGCCAGATGAAGAGACCTGAAATCTCCAAAATCTGCATATTTTTTTAACCCCAGAGACATGGATTTGGGAATTCATAAAAGAGAGATTTTGTTATGAGGGATGGATAAAGGAGAAAACAAGAGGAAGAAAATTCTGCCCTATATGGATGTGCAATAGTAAGTGAATATGAAGACTAGCTAGAAAGCTCAACCAACTTTAGCAAACCTCTGGTAATACAGTAAAAAAAGGAAAGATAAGGATAAAATATTATAAAGACAATCAATGTGTTCATTTAGTTTTCTGACACAAATACAACTGTACCATATATTAAAGGTCATGATATCACCATACTGTTGATTTCAAGTAGGACAATACTAGTATATACTGTACTTAGATCTCCCCAGCTGCAAAGATCTTTAACACTGGTTGAAGTACATCCTCAACTATATAAATCAGGATGTAAAAAATTATAGCTCTAAAGACAACTACATTTTATAATTTAAAATCAAGGTTGTGAAAAAGGACAGCCAATGTAAAAGCCAGCAAATCCAAAGGCCTGCTATTAAGTAATTTGAGATGGTCCTTGCTAGCTGACTAGCCAAACATTTGCATTAATTTGTGATTTTACAATCTTTTATTTCTCACCACATGGTTTTACCACCCCATCCCATTGATGTATAAAAAATCCTCATCACAGATCACTGTTTGTGGTAGGTGAAAACTGTATCTTCCGAAGCTCCCACCAAACCTTCAAAGCATTCCATGATATAGTGGAAAGCGCCTGATTTCTTCAGCTCCTATATGAGTTCAGCTTTAGAGGTTACCTGTAGTAGTAGCAATGGAAAATGAAAGCAAAGAAAAGCAAACTTATCAAAAAATAACAGATTTGTTAGCAGCTGACAAATTCAAAGCATCTCCACTTAGCACTTCTGAGTAAGCAACTATATTGCTTACAGAGTTAGGTGAGCCTGTCTTGTTTTACCATACAGATTTCTTAAGCACCCCGACCCTACTGCATTCAATGTATTTTTATGTTTCTCCTGACATACTGAACTCCATCTTCTATACTATAAAGTGGACAGAAGCACCCTCTTAGTCATAGCCATTTTCACTTTTTTGGTCAAGCATTCATTCTTCACAATAGACCACATACTACCCACTACCTTTCTAGCAGCATTTGCACATTTCCAGTTTTCTCCATCCATTTTTCCTAACCTTAGTAAACGTTCTACCAAGGTACACAAATCCACCTATTTGCTCTAAGGTGGTTGTTACTGCCACTTATACATAACTTGCAACCATACCCTTCATTCCCCTTGTCAAACTCAGTTCTGTTGGTCGCTGATGCATTAACGTTCAAATACATATTGCTCACTGCATCATACAAAATATATCATACAAGCAAATTCTGATAGATGACTAAGTCTACTTAACTACAAGTAAGATGTGGTATTGTTGATGCACTTCAGGTCCCAATTGTAGAGCATTCTCATGTTGTGGGATCTAGGATATGTGCTTACCCTGTAACATAGAATTTCCCCGAGATCCATATGGCCCTGAGCCTCTTTGCTTTCATAAAATTGTAAAATCTTAGGCGCATTAAAAAGTATACACATTCATCTCCCCAACCCATATACCTCTAACATCACTATAAACATTCCTTATACATTTGCTCATATCATCAAATAACCAAGGAGATATCACACCTCCCATCTTTCTCCCTGCCCAAAATTAACTACTCCATTTATTCTCACACATGCAATGTATTTTATTTATTATTTGCTGCATTAGTCAAAGAGGATTCTTTATTATTTCTATCATGTATCACTCTTATCACATTCTACTCCATATTTGCATAAAATATATTCCGTAATTTAAGCCTATTCCTTTACCATTTAGTTTACCATATGCCTTCTAAACTTTTGTTCTCCTATTCATACATTTATAAGTGACCTGTTGAAAAGTATGAGTCAGTATGCAGCATGTACCTCCTAACATGGGCTGTGGGCAATAGTATGCTGGCTTGCAAGGCAGTTTTTAGAGTAGTAATCTTAGCTTGCATAGAGTATGTGAGCATGTTTGAGGTAAAACTGGACTTTGGTTGGGCTTGTGACATACTGACCAAAATATGTAAAAAGTGACTGGCACTGTCCTTAGATTAGCAGGAAACGTTGCATGTGGCACAGGTGTAACTAAATTGGTCATTTAGTCTACTCCTTCTCTACACTGCTGAAAAGCATTTTAAGAGTGACTGGATTCATTAATCATTGAAGTCATAATGTGGCTTGTATGGCTTTAGCTAAAGAGTACTATATGTACCCAGCCATTTGTGGTTTCTAAATAAAGATTTATGGCTTAGTGAAATGCATGACCCCAGCCAATGTGAAAATTTCTGTTTGCAATGTGAACATCTCTGTTTGCATAGATGAGTATAGAGCTCATCTCTAGTCTTTCTCTTGCTTTCTCTCTCCACCCCCCAAAAGGAGGCAATTGTTATCCATACAAGCTTCTATTCCCAATCACTCTGCATGTTGCAATTGTTGCAACATATGTATGAAATCCTGGTCACCTAGTATTTGATCTTCAGGCTGTCCAAAGGAAACTTGTGCCAATTTATACATTCAGCAGAACAAATAGTACAGTAAACGATTTTCCTGGATTGTATCATTTCAAGGTGCACGCAGTAAGGGTGTATTTCCAATCTAACACCACTACCACAGCCTATTTTTGGCATATTCTAAATTGGTATATCAGTGAAAAGTCTGGGATAGCCTTCTTCCACCTCTCTATTTTTTTTCAATGTTTCTGACAGGAAAGTATTCTATCAACATCGTTCCTATAAACATGCCAACTGATCTGTCTTCTGTAAGAATTGTGAAAAGTGTTATTACCAAATTGTGCTGAATATGTACTCCATCTTTTACAACCAAGTCTAGATTGGAATCTGAGAAGAATCACAGAAGATAATAGCACTAGGAGAAATAGGGAAACCTTGTGCTTGGCAACATATGGAAACTTTACTGCACAACTGTGATACAGACCTATCATTAACCACAAGTGAGTTTTGTTCTGATCTACCAGAGCCACATTAACCTTGAGACCTGGGTTTTGTTTGACTGATTGTTTGTAAGAGTCAAAAAGTAGCCTTTAGCATAGCTTGTTCAAGAAAAGAATGTCATATAGTTTCTTTGGGTAATTTTTTTGTACCCTCTGGCCACACAATCTAAAAAATAATATGGTTGTTCTATCTCAGTATTTAATGCAGCTGCCAAGTTATTTTGCAATCTTGAAATAACTGAAGGCCACATTAAATATCAAGGTAAATGAGCTAGTATCTCTTTCACAACTGAATTCACTAAAAAGTATTAAGGTCATGGACGTATTTGTGAAGCTTGAACACATCAAATCAGATTCTGCAATTTTGAGATTAGTCAACCAAGCAGGATTAGATTAATAAAGAAGAGGATCCCACAGTATTTATTTTTAGCAAGCTCATATTTTCTATCTCTCAAAATGGTAAGTTATAATTATACCATTTTATTCTTTTACTAATGTTCTTCTCTTATTTGACCTGGGAAAGATCAAAGCTCTTGATAGGAAAATCACAGATTGCCTCAAGATTGTGCTTTATGAATAACTCTAAAGGTAATAGCAAAAACAAAACAAAGCTATCTATCAGCCTCCCAAGTAGACCAGACAGGAAACACAAGACGGACTAATTCTATTTTACTATAAGGCTATGTTAACAGAATCTTGCAAGTCTGAAAGTACAAATCTCCTGCCATCTCTTTTTACCGCCTGATCAGTTAGGGTGGGTCCTTCCTATGTTTCTTTCTCTGCTTGTTACTCAGCTGCAGGCTCCTCCTCTTTTGTCTGATCATTCCCTAGGCAGCATCTCTCCCTCCCTCCCCTGTCTTAGACTATCCCAATGGACCCAGTGAAGTACAATGATTACAGAGTAGCCCCACTGGCAGTTTCTCTAACTCCTCCTCATTATATTAGTTACCACTTTAGAATCTGGAGTGATTCTCCGGCTAGGTTTACATATGAGACAACTGAGGAGGCATATGCAGCTTCAATCTTCCAAGGTGAGATAGGCTATCAGGCCCCATTTCAGATGGATTTCACTCTTGGAAGATCACCCTCATGACATGGTAGGAGGGCTCAGTAGCGCAGTAATCCTGAGAGTGACACCTGGTGGGAGCAAGAGCTTCCAGGAGGATTACTCTTGCTGCTAAGGTCAAATGGGAAGGAGGAAAGCTAAGAGTAATTCACAAAACGGGTTCTGCAGGTGTCAGGAAAACCAACCAACCTTCTCCACCTAAGAGAAGGAACTCCAGGATCAAACTTGGAAGAAGGAATGGAATGTAAATGATACCCCGCAAATGGCATTACTGAGTATGCACTTGCCTACAATCCAATAAAAGACCATAAAATCATACATATCACTATTAGCGGACATCCAGGAAACACTGGTGTTGACATGCATGCTCTTCTGCAGGAGACACAACAGAGGAAGACCTTGATAAATTCTATGACAAACTGCAAGAAGTACTAAATGCAGAAGTTGGAAAACTGGAGGAATCTAGAATCATATGTATTAGATAAAACACAATAATGTAAGAGACAGGTTAGAGTTCTACAAAGATAACACATTATTTATTGCCAAGGAAAAAAGCACAGATTCTAAAGCTGGACATCAATGAAAGCAAATCAACTGTGTACAGGAAACAGAAGACAAACACAATTCAGTCCGCTACAGTCTCTGTAAGAGATAATGAACTACTGGTGTCAAATATGTGAGGAAAATATAGAAAATTAAAGGAAGTAGGTGTGCAAGTCAGCTGTGATGTGGAAAACATATTGTCAGATTATAAAATCAATGTAAGGAACATATGTCATATGCTTGTGTGAAAGTAAACCTGAGGAGCTATCTGAAGAGATAAGAGATACCGTGAAAACCAAATCAAACCTACCTATCTATCCAAACTTTCAAAGAGGGAAAAACCCAAGTGGCAGGAAGAACATATGATAGCTGAACACTGGCTTTCAACATCAGACAAGGCAAGGAACACTATCTCAGTCAAGAGTGTGAACAAATGGAAGAATATAATAAGTAAAAGAATATGAGAGATTTTTTTAAGAAGGAAAAATCATAGCTAAAGTAGGAACATCCAACAATAATCACTGAAGAGATCTGATACAAGCAATTGAGATTAAAGAAAGATGGAACAGTACTGAAACCCTTTATAAACAAGTTTATAGAATAACTGAAACATTTGTAGTGAAAAAATATATTCAGGAACTGATTCCACTAAAAAAGGCAATGATACAGCTGTCAAATAGGAAAGCACCAGCCACAGGTAAAAAACCCATTCAGTTGTTTAAAGCTGTGGAGAAATGGCAGATAAACTGCAAATTGCTCTATATTAACAAATATAGAACAAGACTTTGAGGCCTAGGAAAAGATTGGTAATAAATACCCATACCAAACAAGCAAGATGCAAATGAATCTGCAAATCTCCAAATGGACTGCACTAATTCTTTATGCAACCAAGGTTTTGCTTATTCTACTTTGTGAGATTTAGGGACAACATGCAAATGAATAAGATATCATGTAGCAGAAGTCCTGGGCCTTGAGGCAATGATGCACAAACAGAAACTCACATACTTTGGGCATGAGATGCAAATGGATGTTTGTTTTTGGTGCCTTTGAGTCAGTGTTGACTCCTGGGGACTTCCTGGACTAGTCCCTTCAGTTTTCTTGGCAAGATTTCAGAAGTGGTTTGCCATGGCCTCCTTCCTAGGGCTGAGAGAGAGTGACTGGCCCAGGTCACCCAGCTGGCTTCATGCCGAAGGTGGGACTACAACTCATGGTCTCCCAGTTTCTAGCCTGATGCCTTAACCGCTACACCAGACTGGCTCAGACTGGATGAGGCTCTAGAAAAAAATATTATTCCTGGCAAAATTGAGGGAAGAGAAGAGGAAAGCAACAGATAAGGTGGATGGGTAGGATCAAAGAAATGACCAAAATGTTCTTAGAAAAGATATGGATTACTGCTGACATGACAGATCCAAGACAGCAAGGATTTCTCCATCCAGTCTCCAGGAATCAAACCCAACTTGCTGGAACTCCACTAAACCCTTATGTGTTTTACACCAATTAGGAATCCTCAGCCAGAACACATGAGGATCAGACTTAAAGGCTTCAACTCTAGAGAAGGACAGCTTCCTTCCGAGTTTTCTTCTCCCTCCTTGAGAATCAGTTAAGCATTTGCATGTGGCACATGGGTAAGATCACATCATAGGCTAGGGGAAAAAAAGTAAATTAACTTCAATGCCCAATTCGATACATTTAAGAATCCCACAGAAAGAAATCAGAAATAGCAAGCTGCAGTTTAAACAAAACAAAATTTGCTAAATAAAGTTTATCAAGGACTTGTTCTCTGGAACTTTACAGCAGGGTCTGGGCTTTCCTCTTTACCAGTCATTTGAAGACCAGACAATTGATCCAATGGGTGGGGAGGTGTTTAAGGGGGCTGAGAATAGCCTCTACGGAAGGAACTCAAACCTGACCAATCAGGACCCTGGATGATCTGATTAGACATCCTCCAGAAGATTTCCAAACTAAACGTTTAGCTGAGTCATAGGAAAACCAGTGAGCATGTGAATTTGGACTGAGCAGGCCCAGGCATGTCTTTTATTCAGGGAAATGATCTACCAGATGGGGAAGGTATCCATCAGCATACATGTCATTTATTTGATTTTGGCTTAGTGTATTATATAAATCCAGACATTTTGGGCTTATTTAGCAAACCTCAGTTAAAATATGTCATGACTAGGACAATATGTGAACTCAGTGAGATGACATCACATTATTCTTTGATCAACCTTTCCAACCTGGAAATAACCCTCCTGATGTGCAGAGACAGCAAGTCCCAGAATGAGCAGTCTCACACTGTAATATACTAGACTATCAAACTCCAGGGGAGGTTCCCATTAACTTCATCTTAATTTCCTCAAAGTCATCAATAACTCAGTGTTTTTAAGGACACCCTTCCTCCATCATTGGAGGAGGGAGACAGTCAATGAAAGGGGTGAGAGGGGATAAGGATGGAGATGCAGAAAGAAGACAGAAATATACACAATGGTAAAGGTTTATATAGTAAAATGTATCCTCTGCATAATTTTTATACAGGCCTTTCCTCCCCCTCCGTACCATCAAACCACAGATCAAATCTGATTCCATGGTCTGAACAGCTTTATGTTGGTACAAAAGCATATAAGGTTCCATGTAGATTTTCAAAACTTCTTCTCTCCCTCCAAGGAATGTCTCCTCTTAACAGGACTCCCAAGTCACAGGTGATCTATATATGGTCTGTGATTTAATGCTGACTTTATTGGCTCCCATGTAAAACCCATCAACATTCTGGAGTTCTGGCATAGGCTTTCAATGAAGCAGTGATGAGCTTTTGGGATGAATGGCCATGGTCTAGTTTTCTTTTGTTCTGACATTTTGCCAGCAGCTGTGGCTGGCATCTTTTCAGAGGCAAAATAAGCTGCTCTGTGGTGTACTTAAGTATGGCAGCGCACTCTGCCTCATCACTGCTTCATTCTGGATTTCCATCAATATATATCCAGTGCCATACAAAATCACCCTAGTGCTGCCCAGGTGAAGGCAGGTTTTTGCATTAAAAATTGCCTGAACATTGCTCAATAACAGACGAAAATAAAAGATTTCATATGCTACTGGCCAAGAAATGTCAGCTGTCAAAGCAAACTCTTAATTCTCTGTTCCCAGCCTAACATTTTAAAGTCTTGTTAACTGGGAATGAAAGGAGCTGTACAGGTCGTCCCCAGCTTAAGAATGAGTTCCATTCCCAAGGTCGGTCCTTAAGTCAAATTGTTATGTAAGCTGGAACAGTATTATTGTTTACTACTGTATAAGTAGTATTGTGTAATGAACTTCAACCATTCTGTGTTTAACTTGAATAACTGTGTATTTAACTCGAATTTTGCTACAATAGGCTCCATTCGTAACTATGGGTCATCTGTAAACCAGGCATTCTTAACCTGTACTTCAAACACAGCTAGAGGGCAGCAGATTGAAGTAGGCTCTTCAAAATGTTAAATAACCACACAATGGCATTTAAAAATAGCCTGGAATGTGATTTTATTCCACAATATTTTGGGCCTCTTGGCACTAAATCAGCAATATTCCTTTACTTCTGAAGAGCACTACCACTAATACCAGGTTAGACTAAATGGTACACTTCATTTCCACCACAAAATTTACCAGGGTTGAGTCTCTTTGCATTAGTTAAGCCATTGTTTAAAAGAGACGGACAGAATATAGCGGAGATATATCATCTGAAGAGCTTCTTCAGCACCTAGCTAATTTAGCAGCAGTACCCCTCTTGGCTTTGTGTAGAACTACTGCCTTTCAATAAATATTTTAGATTTTTGTCTTTACAGGAGGTCTCCGATAACCTCCTTCACCACCCACAAAACTCATCTTCACAAATCCAAGGATCCTCCACCCTGCCAACCCTGTTGTTAAAGCAACAAGTATTAAAACGCATCCCTTTAGGGATCTGTTTTCAGAACATTTCCCCCCTGGTAAATTACACAGTTTATCAGACCAACAGGAAAGATAAATAAATAAATTTACAACTCTCCACCCAGGTGGGCACTCACAAAGGATGGCAAGAGTTACATGGTCTGATGTACTTGCAGGATGAAGAAGATTCAAACAACCCTCCAAAAGAGAAACAGGCAAGAAAAAAAAATCTTATACAGTACTAGAAAACAACATCTGGTCTCAGAGGACAAGTCTCTTACCACAGAGCATGAACAGCAAGACAAAAAACAAGGTAGCCACGATGACGAGGAGAGTCAGGCCAATACTTTGCAACATCTTCCCCGTGTCTGTGAAGATCTAGGACGGTTTCGGTCTCCCTGACCGTGTGAAGAAGAAAGAGGAGGAGGGAGGCGACCGCGACATCCCCATCGGCTTCAAGGAAGTGAGCAGGCCGGGGAAGCAGCAGGGGCAACCCGCCACCTAGACACTAGTGAGCAGGAGCGAGGATAGTAGAGAAAGGGGCGCAAACCCCAACGCTGGTTGCCGTGAGGGCCATGACTCTCCTCCGCTCTTCCCTACCAAGCACTTCGCGCGAGCAGTCAAGAGGCGGTGAGTTCCGAAGGAGGAGGCAGCGGCGGCGGCGGCGGCATGAGTGCTGAGGGCTGAATCATAAGCTAGCGAAGAAGACCAGCAATTCTACACACGCGCGCGCGCGT